AGGAGAGAGGCTTTGGCAGAAAATAACCCTATTGGCACCTTGATCTTGGACTTTCAGCCTCCAGAACTGTGAGAAAATAAATTCCTATTGTTTAAGTCCCCCAGTCTGTGGCACTTTGTTATGGCAGCCAGAGAGGACTGATACAACCCCCATCGTTGTTTGTGTCTGAAGCCCAGCACTCCCACATCACCTCTCTTCACTCCAACTCTCAAACCACATGGCTCCATACAGCTTCTCACCCAGTGTTTCCAGGCGGCATGTTGGAACCCGGTAGTGGATTATGAAGTCAATTTTGTGAATCTCAACCAGCATGTGAAAGATTAAATAGAATAAAACAGAAGAGAATAAAATATGGCAGAACAGCACAGAAGAGGATAGAATGAAATAGGAAATATTTGAATACACTCCATGTAGCAAAGGCAAGTATTGCTCTTGTGAAATCTTTATTTCCATTATATATGTATATATGTACATCCTAAGTCTGTGTTTCATTCTGTGGGTCATGGTAAAAATAAATGTGGAAGCAACTGACCTAATGTGACCCCATATTCTGTCTCTTCCCAAATTCCAATTCTCTTTCATTCTGGTCTATCATCAGCAGAATCCCCCCTGCACTTAGCCTCCTCCAAATGTTCTGGTCAATCTGCTTAAACCAAAACTAAAAAACAAAATCTCACAAGCATAATATAACTGAGGCAATGATAGATGTTATGCTCTAAGCAGGAAAACTTTTTTTTTTAAAGATTTTATGTATTTATCCATGAGAGACACACACACACAGAGGCAGAGATACAGGCAGAGGAGAAGGAGGCTCCATGCAGGGAGCCCGACACGGGACTCAATTCCAGGTCTCCAGGATCACACCCTGGGCTGAAGGCAGGCGCTCAACAGCTGAGCCACGCAGGCGTCCCTAAGCAGGAAAACTTTTACTTAATTTTGACCCTCACTGGATTGATGTAGAATAACTCTGCATTTATTTTTTGAAGGAAATAACAAAATAAAACTAAGTATGAAAGGCTAGAAATTTAGTACAGAAAATTATATCTAATGTTAAAGTGCAAATTTCATAATCGTAATTTTTCACTGAATTTCTTTTTTCTAAAACGTCATTAATGGCAAGATGAACCATTAATTTAATGATGACTTTTCTTTTTTCTTTTTTTTTAAGATTTTTATTTATTTATTTATTTGAGAGACACAGAAAGAGTGAGAGAGAGAGAAAGCACAAGCGATTGAGGGGCATCAGTAAAAGCAGACTCCCACTGAGTAGGGAGCCCGATGTGGGGACTCACTCCCAGAACTTCAGGGATCATGACCTGAGCCTAAGGCAGACACCCAACCAACTGAGCCACCCAGGTGCCCCACAATGGCTTTTCAAGAAAAAAAGAAACTCTATAGAGTTGAACTGTCCAATATGGTAGTCAATAGCCATATGTGGCTACTTAAATTTCAATGAATTAAAATTTATTTTTTAAAGATTTTATTTATTTATTCATGAGAGGCAGAGACATAGGCAGAGGAAGAAGCAGGTTCCTCCCAGGGAACCCGATGCAGAACTCCATCCCGGAACCCCGGGATCATGCCCTGAGCCAAAGACAGATAGATGCTCAACCAGTGAGCCAGCCAGTCGTCCCTGAATTAAAATTTAAAATCCAGTTCTTTAGTCTCACTCACTACATATCAAGTGCTTGGGAGCTATATCTTCTATATTACAGGACATTTCCATCATGGCACAAAGTTCTAGTGGACAGCACCACTATAGAGTTTTGATGAGTAAGGGGTAGGATGGGAAGAAGGCTTGAGGGCAGCTGTGGTTTGGGAAAACACTGGAGAGCAAGTTGCTTTGGAGGAACTGGATTTTTTAAAAATGTTTTTTAAATTTATTAGAGAGAGAGAGAACATGAGTGGGGTAAGGGACAGAGGGAGAAGCAGACTCCCCATGGAACAGGGAGCATGCTGCAGGACAGGATCCCAGGACTCTGGGATCATGACCTGATCCTAAGGTAGATGCTTAACCAACTGCACCACCAAGGTAGCCCAAAGAAATGGATTTTAACATGTGGTGGGTATGGATTATCATTGGATCTTTACTTATTTTAAGGGAAGGAAGTAATTATCAGAACTGCATAAAATGGAACTCTACAACAACAGATGTATCAATACAAAACAGCAAGTATAATGATTTTTATTAGGAGCTTGCTATCATCAAGCACCATGCTAAGTGCTTCACAGAATATCCGTGATTACAACCTAGAAAGTAAGACTTAGCCATTTTCACAGATGAGAAAATTGAGGGTCACAGATTAACTTCTTCAAGAGTGGACCAAGGAAGTGGCAGAACAAGGATTTTTTTAAAGATTTTATTTATTCACAAGAGACACACACACACAGAGAGAGAGGCAGAGACACAGGCAGAGGGAGAAGCAGGCTCCATGCAGGGAGCCCAATGTAGGACTTGATCCCGGGACTCTGGGATCAGACCCTGAGCCAAAGGCAGAGGCTCAACCACTGAGCCACCTGGGCATCCCAGAACAAGGATTTGAAGCCAGTTTCTAGCCCTCATTCCCATCCTGTTACACCAGCAGTTCTCAACTGGAGATTGGAGACATAGGGAACATGGGAGGGGGTGTCAAGAGAAGCTATGGCAGCACTTGGACTGATTGGAAAACCAGACATGCTTCCTACTCTCAGGAAACCCTTTCCTGAAGCCCTTCCTCACCCTCCCCATGCACTCTCCTACATCCTCTCTGTAGCCATTCAGAGACTACAATTTTCAGTAGAGTAGGGCTGAGGCCAGAGGGGGTCACGCAAAGGCTGTTCTAGACACATAGAACTAGATGTGTGAGTGGGATGTAGAGCCAGGGAATCTGAACTTACCAAAAAGCACTCCAGGTGATTCTCATTTGCATGCTCTAGGAAAGAAAAATGTAACACCATAAAAAGTTGGCAGCAAACTTGGAAGTCAATTAAATATTTAGTTAAATGAGGGGCACCTGGGTGGCTCAGTGGTTGAGCATCTTTCTGCCTTTGGCTCAGGTCATGATCCCGGGTCCTGGGATTGAGTCCCACATCGGGCTCCCTGTGAGGCACCTGCTTCTCCCTCTGCCTGTGTCCCTGCGCCTCTCTCTGTGTCTCTCGTGAATAAATAAAATCTTTTAAAAAATTTATTTTTTTAAGGCGCAGGGACACAGGCAGAGGGAGAGGCAAGCTCCATGCAGGAAGCCCGATGTGGGACTCGATCCCAGGTCTCCAGGATCAGGCCCTGGGCTGAAGGCTGTGCTAAACCACTGAGCCACCGGGGCTGCCCGAATAAATAAAATTTAAAAATATATATATTTAGTTTAATGAAAATAATTGTTGTAAATATGTTTAGTAAATCAAAGCCAAATCTTGAAACTTTATATAATAAATATAACATAATAATTGTCTGAGTTTTATGACCCCAGATGACATTAGTAATGACAGGAATTTGTGGGAAGTAAAAGCAAAACAAAACACACAAAAATAAAACTCACTTCACTGTTAAATGGATGACCTAAGAAAGTAATTTTGCTCTTCCTATTGAGCACCAGGGAAATGTAGGTTCAGGGCTACATTTAATGAACTTAAAGGTAATCACTACTAGAATTAAGAACCACTTTCCAAATTACCACTAAAGAAAAGAAAACAGAATCACAAAGCAAATGACAAGACAATGTAGAAAATAGCAAAGAAGCCTAAAAAGAGGGTATGAAAAAGATTCCAGAAATAAAAACAAACACATCGTTTCTTGCACTGATTATAAATGGTTTAAGCTCTGTAATACAAAGATGTTCACGTCGGGCTAAAAATAAACAAAATATGATCATGTGCTGCTTAAACAGGACAACCTAGAACATGACCACCCAGAAAGGTTAAAATTAAAAGGGTGAATCAAGACACACCAATCAGGGATGCCTGGGTGGCTCAGCAGTTAAGCGTTTGCCTTCAGCTCAGGGCGTGATCCCAGAGACCCAGGATCGAGTCCTGCGTGGGGCTCCCTGCATGGAACCTGCTTCTCCCTCTGCCTGTGTCTCTGCCCCTCTCTCTGTGTCTCATGAATAAATAAATAAAATCTTGGAAAAAAAAAGAAAGACACATCAATCAAAGGTGAACAAAAGAAAGCATCAGTAGTGATATCACTAAACAGAGGACTCAAATACTCATACTCAAAATGAGTATTTATCAAATACTAGGATGAGGGAGAACTTTACAAGCTTAAAACAATGAAAAATATCTCAAAGATCTTTCATAAGGAAAAAGTTCACCAGATTTCACTACATAAACATTTAAAATGGTTGAATTGCTAAAAGCAACACAGTCAGTTGAAAAGATACATAACTAACAGAAAAATATTTTCCACAGATGTAACATGGAGTTAATATTTTTCATATTAAAAAGTTTATGCATGGGCATCCCTGGGTGGTTCAACGGTTTAGCGCTGCCTTCAGCCCAGGGCGTGATCCTGGAGACCCAGGATCAAGTCCCACGTCGGGCTCCTTGCATGGAGCCTGCTTCTCCCTCTGCCTGTGTCTCTGCCTCTCTCTTCTCTGTGTCTCTCATGAATGAATAAATAAAATCTTTTTAAAAAATTAAAAATAAATAAAATAAAAAAGCTTATGCAAATCTCTAAGAAAAATATTAAAGATAGGCAATTCAAAAAGAAAGACACTGACTCAGTCAATCTAAATCAAAGAAATTAGACACTCAATGAGATTACTTGTTTTTCCACATTAACTGTGTTATTTATTTATTTTTAAAGTTTTATTTATTTCAGTAGTCTCCACACCCACTGTGGGGCTTGAACTCACCACCCTGAGATTGAGAGTAGCATGCTCTTATGACTGAGCCAGCCAGGTGCCCCTGGCATTAGTCATTTAAAAAATCCTATCGAGAGCACTGGAGGAAATATAAATTGGGATCTTGTTAACTGGATGTGATTCCAGCACAAGACCTCCTGTACTTTTAATATTCACTCCTGTGCTCGCTTAGGCAGAGCATATACTGAAACTGAAATGATACGGAGAAGATTAGCACGGCTCCTGCACAAAGGTGACACACAAATCCGTGAGGCATTCCATATTTTTTTTAAAAAGTTCATTCTTTTTAAAACAATAACTCCACCTCTGGGAATCATGCCTATGGACAGAATCAGAGCTGCCCAAGCCAATGTTTATGAACGAAGATTTTTCAGAAAAAAATTCCTATAGTTGGTATAATTTTGAGAGAGCCAGAATATTAAATGATGGTGGAAATTTATTGCATTTCATTTCATTTCATTTCATTTCATTTCATTTCATTTCATTTCATTTCATTTCACTTCTTAGCGACAAGGTCTTACTATTGTCCAAGCTGGAGAGCAGTGGCTATTCACAGGGGCGATCTCACTACTGATCAGCACAGAAGTTTTGACTTGCTCCATTTGGGACTTGGGCTGGTCCCCTGCTCCCTGGGGGGAGGTCACCATATTGATGCCGAACTTAGTGCAGACACCCTATGGGCATAGTTCACAGCAGCCCAGAGCTCCTGGGCTTGGGATTTCCTCTTGCCTCAGCCTCCTGAGTAGCTGGGACTATAAGGAGTCCCCCATTGTGCTCAGAGATGGTGGAAAATTTTTAGAAAAGTGTGGTATATCCATAAGGCCAAGCATTCTGAATCATCAAAGTTATATTTGAGAAATTATTGTTAAAATAATGTGTGGTATAATGTTAAGTTTAAAAAAAGGTATGTCATACTCTATAAACTGGATACTCAATTGCATATGTGGTATCGCCTCAACTAAATTAATAGTGTTTGCCTTTGAGTAATGGGATTAGAGGCTGTTGGTTTTTTTCTGTTTCAGAATACTTTTCTGTACTTTGCCAACTTTCTACACTGAGCACAGGTTTCTTATATAATCAGAAAAAAATCTGAATAGTCTCTTCAATAAATGGAGTTGGGAAAACTGGATATTCACATGCAAAAATTTATATTGTACGCCTATCTTATACCATATATAAAAATTAACTTAGATACTTTAAAGACTTAAATGTAAGACCTGAAACCATAAAACTCCTAGAAGAAAACATGGGGGAAAAGCTCCTTAGCAATGAATTTTTTGGATAGAACACCAAAAGCACAAGCAACAATAACAAAAATAAACAAGTGGGACTACATCAAACTACAAGGCTTCTGCACAACAAAAGAAATAAACAACAAAATGATAAAGCAACTTATGGAACGGGAGAAAATATTTGCAAAACATTATTTGATAAGGGGTCAATATCCAAAATATATAAGGAGGTCATGCAACTCCATCGCATAAAAAAACAAATAATCTGATTTAAAAATGGGCCAAGTACCCAAATAGACATTTTCCCAAAGAAGACATACAAATGGTTCTGAGGTCCATGAGAAAGTGCTCAGCATCACAAACCATCAGGGAAATGCAAATCAAAGCCACAGTGAAATATCACCTCACACCCGTCAGAATGACTATTATCTAAAAGACCAGAGAGAACAGTGTTTGCAGGATGTGAAGAAGAGGGAAACTTCTTGCAATATTTGTAGGAATATAAATCAGTAGAGTCACTATGGCAAACAAATGGAGGATCCTCAAAAAAATTAAAATAGAACTACCAGCAATTCCACTTTTGGGTATATATCCAAAGGAAATGAAATCACTATCTCAAACTGGGTGTTATTCTGTATGTTGGGACTGGGTGTTATTCTGTATGTTGGGAAATTGAACACCAATAAAAAATTAATTTATTAAAAAAATAAAAATAAATAAAAAATAAATAAAACCCATTTGAGAACAGAAAAAAAAAAGAGATATCTGCACCCCATGTTTGTGCGAAATTGTTAACAATAACCAAGTAATGGAAACAACCTGGGTGTCCACTGATGGATAATGAATGGATAAAGAAGATACTATATATATATATATATATATATATATATATATATATATACACACACACAGATATATATGTATATGTATATAATATTATTCAGCCATAAAAAGGAAGGAAATACTACCATTTCTGACAACGTGGATGGACCTTGAGGGCATTATCCTAAATGAAATATATCAGACAGCGAAAGACAAATACTGTATGATTTTACATGTGGAATCTAAAAAAGCTGAAATCATAGAAACAGAGTAGCATGGTGGTTGCCAGGGGCTATGGCGGGTGAGAGAAATGGGAAGATGTTGGTCAAGGGGTATAAATTTCCAGCTATAAGATGAATAAGTTCTGGGGATCTAATCAGAGCCTAGTGACTATAGTTACAATACTGTATTATAGGGGCACCTGGGTGGCTCAGTTGGTTGAGCATCTGCCTTTGGGTCAGGTCATGATTCCCAGGGTTCTGGGATGGAGCTCCACATCAGGCTCCCTGCTCAGCAGAGCTTGCCTTTCCCTCTCCCTCTGCCCCTCCCTACTGCTCCTGTACTCTCTCACTCTCCCACTCTTGCTCACTTTCGCTCCCAAATAAATAAATAAATAATCTTTAAAAAAAGCCAATACTGTATTATATACTTGAGTAAATCTTAAATGTTCACCCCAAACACCCACCCACCCCCACACATACCACAAAAGGTAATTCTGAGAGGTGATGGATGTGTTAGCTAACCTTATTGTAATTATTTCACAATATATGCATGTATTAAGTGATCACATTGTACATCGTAAACTCACACAATGATATGTGTCAATCATATGTCAGCAAACTGGGGGAAAAAAGAGAAAAACACTAAAGTACAATAAAACTATCTTTAGATTATAAATCATAAAAAAGGAAAAAATCTGAGTAGAAACAAATTGCTTTCACTCTGCAAAATCTTTAGTTATAGCCCTCTTTTATTAATCAGGATTCTTGACTGCGGAGACTGCCTCTGGCAATCTTGAGCAAAAGTTAATTTGTTAAGGACTTGGGAGACCAAAAGAAGGCTTGGAAAAGCCTGGTTAGCACTGAGTGGTCCCTCATCAGTCTTCAAATTCTTCTATCACTCAGGTTTCAAAGACCCAGGTGAGGGCATCCCATGATCTAGCCTAGGTCACAGTCTCCATCAGGGTGAGGGAGCTGGCCTGTTAATTTCCAAAGGGGCAGGCAGACACCAGCTCTCTCCAAGATAAGGCAGAGTGGGAGAAAGGTCAGCCCCCAAACTACTAGGGTACTGTTGGGAAGGGGGATGAAATCATATTGAACTGAAATGTGATGTCATGACTATGCATATTCTTTGGTAACTTTGCTTCCGGCATGCCTTCTTCACCATTCCTCTCCTATTCATTCCTTATCTCCCTGAAATGAGGCATCTGCTGCTCTATTCCTTTGCAATCTCTTCACCCAAATCACCAATTGAACTGGACTGTCAGAGCCAGTGGATGTTTCTCAGGCCTTATCTTTCTAGATATCTTAGTTTGGGTTCCCCTAGAAGCAGAACCAGAGACAAGAATTCGAGTGTAAGTAGTTTATTTGGGAGGTGAGCCCAGGAAATAGAGGCAAAGGAGTGAAGAAGTGAAAACCTAAGGGAAGGAAGTCACCAGAGTGTGCATTATCACACAAGTTAGTGCTATGGGCAACCAGAGCTTAATCCTGCTCTGGGGAACTCTGGGAAATGGCATAGGACATGCATCTCAGAGTTATGTCACCTAAGGGGCAAGGGAGCTGGGGTAGCTATATACCAACTTCTGTCAAATTGTTGGTGGAAAGCTGCTTGAGGGGGAACAATGCACCTTAATTTCCCAGCAGTCCCAGCCTACCGTCCGTGAGCAAAGCAGACTTTGGAAGCCAGAGAAAGTCCAGAAGCAAAGAGATGCAGGGTCTGGCAGTTGGAAGTTCTGCTGCGGGACTTGATCCCGTGAACACAGGATCACGCCCTGAGCCAAAGGCAGATGCTCAACCGCTGAGCCACTCAGGCGTCCCAACTTGTGACTCTTTTTGAAATTCTTCTTTCCCTTGGATACTGGAACATACCACCCCATTTGTTTCCTGTCCTCTTCTCTTGCCACTTCCCATTCTTCTTCTCGTCTTTTTCCTATACTTAGATATTGGTGATCTGTCAACTGTTGCCTTCTCATCCCACACAATCTTCTCATCAACCTCAACACATGCTGGCCACCAAATCCCATCTACAGATGGACTAATCTGGATTGATATTGCTAGTCCTGCTCTTTTTGGTGGATTCTAGACCCAATAGCTTAATGAATGTCTCCACTTGGGTCTCCTGAGCACCTTAACCCAACAGGTCCAAAACTTACCTCTCCAAACCTTATCTTCTCTCTAAATTCCTCTCCTCCCTGAGTGCTCTCTCTCAAAATGGCGTATTATCCATCTGGGTTGCCAAGCCAGAGATCTAGGATCATCCTTCCTTCATTCTCCTTCTCCTCACCTCTGATGCCTAATCGGTCACAAAGTCTTTACAAACCTAACTTCTTTTTTTTTTAAGATTTTATTTATTTATGAGAGACACAGAGAGAGGCAGAGGGAGAAGCAGGCTCCCTATGGGGAGCCTGATGTGGGACTCGATCCCAGGGCCCTGGGATCACAACCTGAGCTCAACCACTGAGCCACCCAGGTGCCCCACAATCCTAACTTCTAATCTCTTTCCTACCCTCTCCACCTTTAAGGCAAACTACCTTCATGCATTGTGCTTGAAGGTATAGAAGGGACTCCTGGATTTTCTCTTAACCTTCCATTTGCTCCTTTTGGGCTCATTCCAATTCCTGAGACTTTGTGGACTTTGTTCGTGTCCCTCTGGCTTAGAAAAACCTCAGCTTCCCTGGCTCACTTCAAAGTGTTTGGTGCAACCTTAGAGTTGGACTTAACCCCAGGATCTTCCCATTCTTGGTAGGATTCTGATTCAGTTAGGATCCAGTTCAGTAATGAATTACTGAAATAAAAAACAACTGGGGCTTACAAGCTTGAAGTGTTTTTCCTTTCTTTTTTTTTTTTTTTTTTTTTTATTTATTTATGACAGTCACACAGAGAGAGAGAGAGAGAGAGAGAGGCAGAGACACAGGCAGAGGGAGAAGCAGGCTCCATGCACCGGGAGCCCGACGTGGGACTCGATCCCGGGTCTCCAGGACCGCGCCCTGGGCCA